AATGGGTTCTTCCTCTTGACTAGGCTTATGTGGACAAGCATGCTCCCCTGCCCATATTCCCATGTTACCACAACAATGGATCCTCCCCTTCTACCTCTCCATAGGAGTCCCCAGTGGCGCAGTGGGTTAAAACCTTGTATCAGCAGGACTGAACACCGACAGGACGCAGGTTCGAATCCAGGGAGAGCGCGGATGAGCTTCCTCTGTCAGCTCCAGCTACTTATGCGGGGACATGAGAGTAGCCACCCACAAGGATGATTAAAAAACATCCACACATCCTCTGGGCAATGTCCTTGCAGACTGCCAATTCTCTCACACCAGACCAACTTGCAGTTTCTCAAAGTTGCTCCTGACACAACCAAAAGAAAACAACCTCTCCACAGGACTGCTTTCTAAAGATGCTTTAACAAATCAAATATTGCATCCCTAATAAATAATAAGACCCCCATGGTGTCACAGTGGGTTAAACCACTGAGCTGCTGAACTTGCTGACTGAAAGGTTGATGGTTTAAAACCTGGGAGCGGGGTGAGCTCCCACTGTTAGCCCCAGCTTCTGCCAACCTAGCAGTTCAAAAACATGCAAATGTGAGTAGATCAGTAGTTACTGCTTCTTTAAGACATTAAGATCATCTGGGAAGGCCCTGCTCTCGGTCCCGCCTGCGTCACAGGTATGTCTGGCGGGAACGAGAGACAGGACCTTCTCAGTGGTGGCCCCTCGGCTGTGGAACGCCCTTCCTACAGAAATTAGATCAGCCACCTCCCTATTGGCATTTTGGAGGAAAGTGAAGACCTGGTTGTTTGAGCAGGCATTTTAATAGGCAGTGTAATGAACATAGGAATACGGAACGATGGATGATGAGATTGGATCGTGATTTTGTTTGAGACGCTAATGAGATGTTATATGGATGTTTAACTGTTTATTATGTTACTATTTTTAATCGTTTTTAACTGTTTTTCTGTGATGTCAAGCATTGCATTTTTGCTATTGTTAACCGCTTTGATTCGCCCGAGGGCTGAGAAAAGCGGTATATAAGTGAAGTAAATAAATAAGAAATAAATACTGCTTCTACGGGAAGGTAATGGTGATTCATGCAGTCATGCTGGCCACATGACCTTAGAGGTGTCTATGGACAATGCTGGCTCTTTGGCTTAGAAATGGAGTCCCTAGCCCCCAAGTCGGACACAACTAGATTTAATGTCAGGGGAAGCCTTTACTTTTACCTAATAAATAATATGAAATAAAACACAAACTTAGCCTGAATCCAAATCCAGGCGAAAGTTAAATGAACTTGACCTATGGATCTCAATCAATACGGTGAAATTGCATGCAGCCACGGATCAATAAAACATCACAAGGAACAAAATGCAAAAACAAGAAGAGAAGTGAGGAGCATATCATTAAACCAAGGAGGAAAGGGTTGCGCAGCAAACATTTTATTAGAAAAAAAATAATTCAGGCACAGCATTTGTGTTTTCTTAAGTTATTTTTTTTTTTTTTTTGCAATATATTTGAACTCAAATGTACATGAAGAAATATACAACCGCCTGCAAGTGTTCACTACCACAAAGATGCCTAGCAAAAGAGCAGCTCCTTGCAGGACTGTATGTCTTCTCAGGGCCAAATCAAAACAGATGCTATTCAGCTCATGGAGGTGATTGTCCTCCACATCGTCCTCCACTACGCTGCGACAATCCTAAGCCTGGTATCTAGTAGCCGCCATATTAATTTAAACCAGTGGTTCCCAACCTTTGTTTGACGAGGGACCACTTCACCAGGGACTACTCTCCAACATTAAATGGCCCTGACCCACTTGACCTGTCCGAACATATCTCTCCCTATGAACCATCAAGGACTTTAAGATCATCTGGGGAGGCCCTGCTCTCAGTCCTGTCACAATCACAGTCGCATTTGGTGGAAACGAGAGACCGGGCCTTCTCCGAGGTGGCCCCTCGGCTGTGGAATTCCCTCCCTAAAGAGGTTAGATCTGCCCCCTCCTTTCTGAATTTTTGCAAGACACTTGGATGTGGGAGCAAGAATAGACAGCTTTTATTGGTGAAGATTTTATGGACCACATTTTTTGGACTGATTTGGTGGACATTTTACACCTGGTGAACTGTTTTAAATGTATATTTATTACCATTTTATGCAACTGTGTATTTATTGGTGTTTTCATACCCTGAGTCCCTCTTTGGAGGTTGAGAATAGTACGGGATACAAATAGAATCGTAGAATCCTAGAGTGGGAAGAGACCTCCTGGGCCCTCCTCCAGTCCAACCCCATTCTGCCAAGAAGCAGGAATGTTGCATTCAAATCACCCCTGACAGATGGCCATACAGCCTCTGTTTCAAAGCTTCCAAAGAAGGAGCCTCCACCACACTCTGGGGCAGAGAGTTCCACTGCTGAATGGCTCTCACAGTCAGGAAGTTCTTCCTCATGTTCAGATGGAATCTCCTCTCTTGTAGTTTGAAGCCATTGTTTCGCGTCCTAGTCTCCGAGGAAGCAGAAAACAAGCTTGCTCCCTCCTCCTCCCTGTGGCTTCCTCTCACATATTTATACATGGCTATCATATCTCCTCTCAGCCTTCTCTTCTTCAGGCTAAACATGCCCACCTCCTTAAGCCGCTCCTCATAGGGCTTATTCTCCAGATCCTTGATCATTTTAGTCGCCCTCCTCTGGACACATTCCAACTTAGGGTCAACATCTCTCTTGAATTGTGGTGCCCAGAATTGGACACAATATTTCAGGTAAAGTGGTGTAACCAAGGCAGAATAGAGCATGGGGAGCATGACTTCCCTAGATCTGGACACTAGGCTCCTCTTGATGCAGGCCAAAATCCCATTGGCTTTTTTTGCCGCCACATCACATTCCTGGCTCATGTTCAACTTCCTCCCCACGAGGACTCCAAGATCTTTTTCGCACGTCCTGCTCTCGAGCCACGGAACCAATGTTTTAAACTATGCAATTTGTAACTGAGTGAATTGACTGTCAATAGTTCTTTAAATTTCTCTGTTTTTTCCTTCCACTCAATGAGTTTGTTCTAGCAAAACCCCATCATTATCAGCAGAAACGTATCTCTTCAACCCTCTCCATAAAAATATTATTTCCCAAACAACAGTGTTGTCTATGTTGTGCTGTATTTGAGTGTAGTGCAGTGCTTGCCATGTTTAATTGGAAGTGAGTTCCATGAAAATCAATAGGGCTTATTCTAAAGTAGGAAGGAACTACTGCAAAACGGTTGGGGTGTCACAAAATATTATTATGCAGATTTGATAAATGTGGATTTAATAACGATGTGAGAACCAGCCAGGAATTTAAGATCTTCTGAAGAGGCCCTGCTCTCTGTCCGGCCTTCTTCACAGGTTCGGTTGGCAGGGACGAGAGACAGGGCCTTTTCAGTGGTGGCCCCTCAGCTATGGAACACCCTCCCCAGAGATAGTAGATTGGCTCCCACTCTCCTAACATTCCGAAAAAAAGTCAAAACCTGGTTTTGTGAGCAGGCTTTCTCAAATGCTATGTAGTAAATAATTACTTGACCTTGGAATGGCTGGACAATTGCAATCGGATAAAGATTCTGGAAATTAGATACGGTGGATTTATGTTTTTATGTTTGATTGATTTTATTGTTTATGGAATTTTATGGATGTTTATATGTTTTTAACTGTTTATATTATTGTGGCATCAAATTGTGCCGGTTTTGTAAACTGCCCTGAGTCACCTTCGGGCTGAGAAGGGCGGTATAGAAATATAGTAAATAAATAAATAAATAAATAAATAAATAAATAAAAATGTGTGGAAATTAATGGAAGAATGGAAGTTGTATGAGTGGAGTTGATAATTTTGGAAACACCAGTGTAATATTAAGGCCCGATATGACTAAACCTGCTTGCTGGGCTGTAATTAAAAGTTGCTAATAACAACTAAAAAGTAAACCCCATTTCCCCAGTTTCCAACAGACAAGAGTTATTTCTCCCACCCTGAACATCATTCCACAGATATATAAACCCCATTTCCCCAGTTTCCAATGAACCAACAAAGGATTCCCCCAGGCAGTAAGAAGCCAGACCTTGAAACTGCTAGGCCACTAAATGCTAATCAAGGTGGCCAATTGCAACATTCACACCTGCCTCGAACAGACAAGAGTTCTTTCTCCCACCCTGGACATCATTCCACAGATATATATAAACCCCATTTCTCCAGTTTGCAATGAACCAACAAAGGATTCCCCCAGGCAGTAAGAAGCCAGACTTGAAACTGCTAGGCTACTAAATGCTAATCAAAGTGGCCAATTGCAACATTCACCCCTACCTCGAATAGACAAGAGTTCTTTCTCCCACCCTGGACATCATTCCACAGATATATATAAACCCCATTTCCCCAGTTTCCAATGAACCAACAAAGGATTCCCCCAGGCAGTAAGAAGCCAGACCTTGAAACTGCTAGGCCACTAAATGCTAGATGCAAAACATCTCTCTCTCTGAACAACTTGGCTTAAGCAGCTTTGTGGTGCTGAACCATTCCATGAATGAGAGTTCAACACAAAGGTATGTGCTAGTATGTTAACTAAATAGAACTTCTGAGTAGCAACAGAGAAGCAAGTCAATTGCTTTCGCGAGCAGTTTCTGGGCTTTGTGGCAGCCTTTGTGTGGCCAAATTGCAGAGTTGGGTTGTGCTTTGGTCTGGTGCAACAAGGTTCTTGTCTAGTGTCCATTGATCCCCTTCATCTATGTGCTTGGCTTGTTCTTTCTGAATCAACTGTCAACAAAACAATACAAAAATGCAGCAAATGAACACAGAAGAAAACATCAAACCAAATGGAGATGGATGGAAATGGAAAGGAGAGATGTCTCAGTTGATGGAAGGGAAACCCAAAGACAAAAGAGCGAAGGCATGATCCAGGAGGAGTCTTTGCGGATGGAGACAGAAGACAGATGAAGGGCCAGACAGAGGACAGCCGTTGCCCGTCACCAAAGATAGTACAGTATGTAGTTGCCATAACTACCTAGAAGAGCCAGGAAGCAGATGCAGATGGCAAACATGGAGCTGAAGCTCAGGCCGGCATCCTTGTGGAAAATGGCCAGGGTGATCTCACAGTTGCGCCCCGAGTAGCCGTCGGGACAGTGACATCGGAACTTGCTTGCAGACTGGGAGACGCATGTGCCGAAGTTGCACGGTCTCTGAGCACAGGCCGTGTAGATGCAGTGCCGGCCGGTGGCATTCTCCACCAACATGTGTCCTGCAGGGCAACTGAAAGACACAAACGCACATTTATTCATTTATTTATTTACAGCATTTATATTGCGCCCTTCTCCTCACCCCGCAGGGGACTCAGGGTGGATTACAGTGTACACATATATGGCAAACATTCAATGCCAATTTTTGACATACAAACATATACAGACACACACAGAGGCTATCTAACTTTTTCTGGCCGCCGGGGGAGCTGTCGCTTTCATTGTCCATCTGCAACGCTGATGAAGCACTTCCGCATTCCCCGCATGCTTCCCTGCTGGAAGGCTTTGCTGGAGTCTTCTTTATGGCCTCATAAATTAGTTAATGTAGCCTCCCCACACTTTAAGGTACCTAATTTTCCTACTTGACAGATGCAACTGTCTTTCGGATTGCAAAGGTTGACAACAGGCTACACACAATTGATTGGAAACCCACTCCAACCCGGGCTGGCTTCGAACTCATGACCTTTTGGTCAGAGTGATCTTAATGCAGCTGGTGCATCAAACCATTCAGCAGCAACATCAGCACCGGCTCGTCCAAAGCTCTGGGGCATCGACTAGGTTTTATACTCCCATTTAGCACCATCATCCACAGCCAGTTACAATGGAATGCAATTGGTCTGGAGCGGACCCAGGTCTCGGCATGTGTGTTTCCGCACAGTTGCATGTCATGTGTGATGAATTGCCTACCTTTTAGGCCAGGGAAAGCTCAGGTATTTTGGCAACCATTTTATGAGGTGGAGCAAGGGGTCAGCCATCTTATTTATTTATTTATTTATTTATTATTCAAACTTCTATGCGGCCACTCCCCTGGGGTTCGGAGCGGCTTACAAGAACAGGCTAAAATCGAACACAATTTAAAAACAATTTAAAACAATTTAAAAACAGCAATTTCAAAGAGCAAAGGCCTGTCGAAACAGGTATGTCTTACATGCCCGGAGGAAAGCTGATAAGTCCCGCAAGGCACAGACTTCAGGTGGCAGAGTGTTCCAGAGTGATGGTGCCACTGCTGTGAAGGCTCTGCGTCTGGTTGCTGTTAGGCGCAAGGTCTTGACACTGGGAAATTCCAATAGATCTTGGTCCTCAGGACGGAGGGATCTCTGGGGTTGGGAGGGGGTGAGGCGGTCCCTCAGGTACATCGGCCCCAGACCATGCAAGGCCTTCAAGGTGAGTCCCATCCCTTTGAAAGTGATCCGGTGCTCAATGGGTAACCAATGCAGCTGCAGTCAGATTGGGGTGATGTGGTATCTCATCGGAATTCCCGCAAGAAGCCAAGCAGCTGCGTTTTGTACCAGCTTGAGCTTCCGGATCGCCAGCAAAGGAAGGCCAATGTAGAGGGCATTACAGGAGTCCAGTCTTGAGATGACTGTGGCCTGGATCACCGTAGCTAGGTCGTCCCTGGACAGGGAGGGGGCCAGCCGTCTAGCCTGTCGCAGGTGAAAGAAGGCGGTTCTGCTCACGGCGGAGACCTGGGCCTCCATCATCCACAGAGGGTCCAAAAGGACTCCCAGACTCTTGACCAATGATGACGGGTGTAACGCCTCGCCATCCAGGGTAGGCAGCTGGATATCCCCACTGCCCAGTTGACCCAGCCATAGATCTCCGTCTTTGCTGGATTCACCCTCAACCTGCTGGCATGCAGCCATCCAGTCACGGCCTCGAGGCACTGATGGAAATAATTGGGTACGGAGTCTAGTCTGCCCTCCATCCTCAGCACCAGCTGAGTGTCATCAGCATACTGGTAACACTAAAGCCCAAAACCTCGAACCAGCTGAGCAAGTGGTCGCATATAAATGTTAAATAACAGAGAACCCATTTCCTAGAGGGGGCGGAGCTTAGGAGCAGCCTGGAGGGAAACGTGGAGAGCCTTTGTAATTGTCTGGGAGAAAGTGGGCGGAGCTTAGCTAGAGTGCAGGAAAAAAATTGCCTGTAAGGGTGCGTTTTAAAATCTGACAGCTCAGTTAGTGTCTGGTGTTTGAAGAGTGGAGTCAGGGTATGTGTGTTGAAGAAGAGAGTTGGGTTTTGGGAGTGTTAGGAGAAGAGGAGTCAGAGAAGCCACAGTTGGTTAGTTAGTAAACAAATAGCTATTAGGAAGAATAGCTAGTAGAGAGAATAGACAGATCGAAAGGGGAAAGGACTATCTGGATTCTTAGGAATTCTAGTCAGAGGGAAGTCTGGGTTGTTGTAGGTTTTTTCGGGCTATATGGTCATGTTCTAGAGGCATTCTCTCCTGACGTTTCGCCTGCATCTATGGCAAGCATCCTCAGAGGTAGCGAGGTCTGTTGGAACTAGGAAAATTGGGTTAATATATCTGTGGATTTTGTGCCTCTCAGTTGAGAAGTTTAAGAAAGCAACGCTACCAGGATTTCTAGGTTTTCTAGACATGAGAATGCACTGCTGTAAAGAACTCCTTTCCTTAAGCAGCTAGAATGTGAGCCTGGAGAAGCCCTGGGTTTTCTAGAGGGGGTGTGTCCTATTCCAGGAAGCAGAGATTCGATGGCCAGGATTGGTTAGAAAATAGGGGTGGTGCCTAGCATTCAAAAAGGCAAAAAAAAAGTACCTTTTGAACTGAGGCTGGAGTTGGCAGTTGGAAATTGTCCGTTGGGGGGTTTTGTCAGTTGGTGATAACGTTTGGTTGGTTGGTGTTAGATAGGAGAGCTGGGTTAATCTTTTGTGGTATTCAAGAGCTAGAGGAATTAGCAAAGAATACAGATAGTGGAACAGGACCTTGCTTGTGGTCTGTTCTTTGTCCCTGAGGAAGGCTAGGGCAAAGGCTATTGGCTAGATTCCAGAAAGGGGGAATTTTGTTTGAAATTATTATCCCAATTAATTTCCCGAGATAATCTCCTGTTTTGTTAACATCAAGATTTGAACCCAAAACCCATCTAAGAATTGTACATCAAACATACCCAGAAGCTTATGTACCAGTAACTTACTGAAACCACTATGCATTTGTACCAGAAGAAGTTTAAGCCTGTTAAATAAACGTTTTATTATTGTTAACACTTTATAACAGCTTCGGTGTGAACATCACTGTGATTTAAACCCTCTGAAGAAAACGAACACTATTGTAACACAAAAGGGTGTTACTAAGTATACTCTCCACATACAAGTCAGTCTGATGACCAAGCAAAAAGGTGGCAGCGAGAATGATTGAAGAAACAGTTTTAAAACCTCCCAGTTCAGGCTTAGTTCAAATGTATATCAAGTTGTCTCTTTCCTGTTTTAAAAATCCCCCTGCACCTATAAATATTTGGGTTGACAGCTTGAGGGAATTACTATTTTAAAATTCCCTGATCCTTTTCCTGCTAAGTTCCTTATAATTAACGGCAATCGCTTGGTATAGTTTCCCCAGGTTCCTTATAATTGGTGGTACAGCGGTGTGATACCTTTTATAACTGCCCTTGCAATACTTGTATTGTTTTGAGATACGCAAGCAGCAGAACACACGAGAAGCAAGCCAGCACTCCCACAGCAAACTGCCAGCCTCGCATCAAGACCCTGAACTTCAGAGTGATGCGCCTGGAGGCAAACTGGCAAATCTTCTTAATTCAAATGGATTCCAAACCATTTTCTCTGACCCTTCCCTCTGACTCCAAGGAGCCTCCTTTTCTAATATGAGGATCCCAGAGTAATGGCGGGTGAAGGCCATTGCCATGAAGGACCCTTGCTTTGTGACTCATTTATCGTCCTTCCTCATTTGCCCTGAAATACTGCCGATTACAAATAACAACACATGTTAAACTCAGAGGAAGCCTTATCACTGACATTCAGACAAAAGATTTTTAACATGGTGCAGTGCTTCTCAACCTGTGGTTCTTCCCAGGTGTTTTGGCCTACAACTCCCAGAAATCCCAGCCAGTTTACCAGCTGTTAGGATTTCTGGCAGTCAAAGGCCAAAACATTTGGGGACCCACAGGTTGAGGACCACTGGCTCACTGTATATTAAAAGTACCTCTTCCAAAAGAAAACACCATGCTTTGTACTGAACTGACACACACGCCAAAATGGAAGCTTCCCTGGAGGAAGAGGTTCATTCTGTCTAGTCCACGCTCTGGTTACATCCCACATAGACTACTGCAATGTGCTCTACATGGGGCTGCCTTTGAAGACTGTCCAGAAGCTTCAATTGGTCCAACGGACAGCAGCTAGGTTGCTGACGGGAGTGGTGCTCAGGGAGCATACAACTCCCCTGTTGCACCAGCTCTTTTGGCTGCCAGTTTGCTACCGGGCACGATTTAAAGTGCTGGCTTTAGCCTATAAAGCCCTAAACGGTTCTGGCCCAACTTACCAGTCCAAATGCACCTCCCCTTATGAACCATCTAGGACTTTAAGATCGTCTGGGGAGGCCCTGCTCTCATTATCGCCTTTGTCACAAGTATGTTCGGCAGAGATGAGAGACAGAGCCTTCTCTGTAATACAATTGCCTGGTTGCCTGACGCGATAAATAAATAAATCCCACAAACGAACATTACATTTTTATTTTTATAGATTGCGGTTTTAAATGTATTTTATGGTGTTGTTGGGCATTGAATTGTTGCCTCTGTAAACCGCCTTGAGTCGCCTGTGAGCTGAGAGGGGCGGTATATAAACACAGTCAATAAATAAATACATAATTTTAGGAACCCCCATCACCTTACCTGCACTCATGCACCATCCACAGGTCAATGCAGATAAACTGCTGGCTGCAGGGATTGCTTTTGCAGGCGTCAGAGAGGCAGCCTTTCTTCACTCCGCGGGCACTCAATACCAGCTCCTTCAGGGAAGGATCTAGAGGGAGCCTGTAGTTATTGAATCTGACATCCTTCATGCATCCTAAGGCAAAATACAAAGCAGACACAGTTTTTAAAAAACCCCTGATCGAGAACTATTTTTGAAACAGATGTCACAGGCCCTGCAAGGCTGCGCATGTGTTCTGTTTAACAATGGCCTCAGAGGTTCGGAAGCACAGCAGAAGAGCTCCCACTCCGCTCCCTGCTTCTAGGCTCTGAACTCTTCCCTCCAAATTGGAAGGCATTCCTTGCAGGAGTTTGTTGAACATCTCAAGATGCATTCAATGCCAACCTCCATCCTCCAAGGAGCCATGACACCCAAGATGGTAGGTGTTGTGGGGAGGTTGTCAGAGTGCGACAGAAGCTTTGGAGCTTAGAAGAATGGACACTTTGAGACTTCAGTAAAAGCAAACAGGTAGCTTTACTGAGTAGAGCAAATATACAGCACACATTCGCATTTACATCCAACCAAACAGACAGGAACAAGACAAAAGACAAACCGAAGTTAGAAGAACAAACGAAACCTTATCTCTGGATCCTCCCTACACGTTCCAGGCACACTCGGGGTCACATCTTTACAGTTCATTAGAGGCTTGACTGATTAACCCTTTCAGTGTCAATACACTCATTGGTAAAGCAATCAGGTTACATTCACAGGCATTACACAAAATTATATTTAAACAATCACATTACACTAATCTTACATTAACAGAGACTGCTGAGCTGAACTTGCTGACCGAAAGGTCGCTGGTTCAAATCTGGGGAGCAAGGTGAGCTCCCACTATTAGGCCCAGCTTCTGCTAACCTAGCAGTTCAAAAATATGCAAATCTGAGCAGATCAATAAGCACCGCTCTGGCAGGAAGGTAACAGTGCTCCATGCAGTCATGCCGGCCACATGACCTTGGAGGTGTCTACGGACAACGCCGGCTCTTCGGCTTAGAAATGGAGATGAGCACCAGAGTCCCAGAGCCGAACACGACTGGACTAAATGTCAGGGGAAAACCTTTACCTTGCTTTACCTATTGTTGTTGTTTTAATTGTTTCTACTGTTTTTATATTACTTATATTATATGTTAATGTTTTTAATTATATTTTATGTTGTTGGGAGCATTGATTGCCGACTGTAAACTGCCTTGTGTCGCCTTTGGGCTGAGAAAGATGGTATATAAATATGGTAAATAAATAAATAAATAAATAAATAAAGATTTGAACCCAGAACCCATCTAAGAATTGTACATCAAACATAACCAGAAGCTTATGTACCAGTAACTTACTGAAACCACTACGCATTTGTACCAGAAGAAGTTTAAGCCTGTTAAATAAACGTTTTATTTATTGTTAACACTCTATAACAGCCTCGGTGTGAACATCATTGTGATTTAAACCCTCTAAATCAGTGGTTCTCAACCTGGGGTCCCCAGATGTTTTTGGCCTACAACTCCCAGAAATCCCTGCCAGTTTATCAGCTGTTAGGATTTCTGGGAGTTGAAGGCCAGAAACATCTGGGGACCCCAGGTTGAGAATCACTGCTCTAAATAAAACAAACACTATTGTAACACAAAAGGGTGTTACTAAGTATACTTTTCACATACAACTCGGCCTTAATACCAAACAAAAAGGTGGCAGCGAAAACAATTGAAGAAACAGTTTCAAGATCTCCCAGTTGCCTCTTTCACTATTTTAAAAACCCCTGTTCCTTTCCCTGCCAAGTTCCTTATAATTAACGGCAATTGGCAGTTTTCTATATCTTGCCCTGTCTGATAAATTCAAATTATTTTAAATCTTCTCTGTACTACTCGATCATTTCACCCCTTATAACTGCACTCTGAAAATATTACCCTTACCTCCACCCCTGCTTTACATGATGTTACAACTTATTTATTTATTTATTTATTTATTTAGAACTTTTATATACCGGTCTTCTCGACCTCTAGAGAGGGACTCAGGCCGGTTTACAACATGATTCAAAAACAGTAGCTTAAAAAAATCACACAATAAAACACATTAATACATAAAATACATTAAAAACAGTCATATAATTATGTAAAGCCAAGTCGTCGAAAAGATATCACAATTCATTACCATCCGCCCGTGTGGCCAGAAGTTCTTGACACTCATCAAATGCCAAATTCCAGAGCCAAGTTTTCACCAATTTTCTAAAAGTCAGGAGAGAAGGGACAGATCTAATCTCCAGTGGGAGAGAGTTCCAGAGCCAAGGGGCCACCACCGAGAAGGCCCTGTCCCTCGTCCCCACCAGACGCACCTGCGAGGATGGTGGGACCGAGAGCAGGTCCCCTAAGGAAGATCTTAATAACCTTGATGGTTCATAGGGGAGAATCCGTTCGGACAGGTAAACTGGGCCGGAGTCATTTAGGGATTTATAGGTCAACACCAGCACTTTGAATTGTGCTTGGAAGCTAATTGGCAGCCAGTGGAGCTGGCGCAACAGAGGAGTTGTATGCTCCCTGTACCCCGCTCCTGTTAGTAATCTGGCTGCCACTCATTGGACTAGTTGAAGCTTCCGGGCAGTCTTCATAGGCAACCCCACATAGAGAGTGTTGCAGTAATCTAAACGGGATGTAACCAGAGCGTGGACCACTGTGGCCAGGTCAGACTTCCCAAGGTACGGGCCCAGCTGGCGCAGAGGTTTTAATTGTGCAAAAGCTCTCCCGGCCACCACCAAGACCTGAGGTTCCAGGCTTAACGATGAGTCCAGGATCACTCCCAAGCTGCGAACTTGCGGGTGTTACTAAGTATACTTTTCATATACAACTCAGCCTTAATACCAAACAAAAAGGTGGCAGAGAAAACAATTGAAGAAACAGTTTCAAGATCTCCCAGTTGCCTCTTTCACTATTTTAAAAACCCCTGTTCTTTTCCCTGCCAAGCTCCTTATAATTAACGGAAATCGGTTGTTTTCCCCAGGTTCCTGATAATTGGTGAAGCAGTGAGGGGGAATTATTTCTATATCTTGCCCTGTCTGATAAATTCAAATTATTTAAAATCTTCTCTCTACCATTTGATCGTTTCAGTATCAGCCCTTATAGCTGCACTCTGAAAATGTTACCCTTACCTCCACCCTTGCTTTACATGATGTTACAACTTGCTAAGATTTGTATGAGAAAAGTTAAAATAATCAAAGTGGGAGAATAAATGTCTCCTTGGAACCCTTTATTATCATTGGCTCGATTGTTAGCTGTGCAAGGACAACACAGGAAGAACAAGGAAGGCAAAATGCTAATACGCAAATACTCTGAATGGCACTTAAATGTCATCCCGTGACTCTTTTAATAGCCCTGCCTCCGTGATGGACAGCTACCGGAGACAACGGATAAACGGAATATGATTTTCACCTTGGAAAGCGTGGCTCTGATTGACAGGGTGTGTGTTGCCCACAACCAAACTGTTGGGATCGAGGATGATCTCCTTGTAGACTCCCGCTGCCTTCGAGATTTCTCTCTTCCCGCCGCCTCCGTCCAAGCGAAGAATGAACTCATTTTCATTCCTCTCCAGGGAAATTTGATGCCATTCTCCATTATCCACTTGATAGGAAGGAAGGCTGACGACAAATGCTCCGTCTCCCAGGTTGTAAGACACCGTTAATAAGCCAAGGACCACCTTGCAAGGAAACCAGGAACAGGTGTCAATCATTTTTGCCTTTCATATTACAGTATATGCTGAAGAACAGCCCACAAATGGTGGAAGGACTCTATAGATCAGCACGGGCAAACTTTGGCCCTCCAGGTGTTTTGGACTTCAACTCCCACAATTCCTAACAGCCTACCGGCTGTTAGGAATTGTGGGAGTTGAAGTCCAAAACACCTGGAGGGCTGAAGTTTGCCCATGCTGATCTATAGATTCAATTGTGGGCTGCAAACTGTGTGTGTGTATATACATACACACACATAAAGACAGAGTCAAAGTTCAGAGATGCAGCTCTTTTCACACGATTAGATAAATGCAGCAATCTTCCCGCAGGGATGATGCTATATTAATATATCAGGGTAATGTGAATTGACCGGTAAATGTGCACAAAGCATACATGGTTCATTTATTTATTGCTTAGATTAATATTCCACCACTCGAGGACAAAAAAGCCAGGAGAAGCAAAGATATTGGCATACATTCATGTCAAAGTGAAGGTAATGTGAGGAGCTGACGGTCTCAAAAGAGGATGTCGCACCTTGCCTCATCAAGAGGGGTGGATATAACAATCCAACATTTTGTGAGTTGTTCATTTAAATACTCAAGACTACAAGTACATTTCAACAATGGATTCTACAAGGTGGATAACCCACAAGTAGAGAAACGACACATCAATTGGTCAATGCCAATATTTATTTATTTTACCTATATAAATAAAAATGTAATGTTTGTTTGTGGGATAAACATAACTCCAAAACCACTGGACGAATTGACATCAAATTTGGACACAAGACACCTCTCAAGCCAACGAGTGACCATCACCCCTAAACACACACACACACACAAAATCCCAGCAGAACAGACTTAAAAGCCCCCCAAAATAACCATAGATACATATACAGATACACTCATACACATGCACACATTCATAAACACACACACATATACACATATACACACATTCATACACACACACGTATATATATCTGCACAAACACACACACATATACACATATACACCATACATACATATAGATACACATACACACATTCATACACACACGCGTATATATATGCACAAACACACACACATATACACATATACACACATACACCATACATACATATACAGATATGCTCATATACATATACACGTGCACACATTCCTACACACACATGTATATATATGCACAAACACACACACATATACACCCATACACCATACATACATATACAGATACGCTCATATACATATACACATGCACACATTCATACACACACACGTATATATATGTACAAACACAAACACATATACACATATACACACATACACCATACATACATATGCAGATACGCTCATATACATATACACATGCACACATTCATACACACACATGTATATATATGCACAAACACACACACATATACACATATACACACATAGACCATACAGATACACTCATATACATATACGTATGCACACATTCATACACACACACGTATATATACGCACAAACACAAACACATATACACATATACACACATACACCATACATACATATGCAGATACGCTCATATACATATACACATGCACGCATTCATACACACACACGTATATATATGCACAAACACACACATATACACATATACACACATACACCATAAATACATATACAGATATGCTCATATACATATACACATGCACACATTCACACACACACACGTATATATATGCACAAACACATATACACACATACACACATACAACATACATACATATGTAGATACGCTCATATACATATACACATGCATGCATTCATACACACACACGTATATATATGCACAAACACACACATATATACACATATACACACATACACCATACATACATATACAGATACACTCATATACATATACGTATGCACACATTCATACACACACACGTATATATATGCACAAACACACACACGTATACACACATACATATACATACCCAAATATATATATACACATACACACACAAATATACATATATACACACATATACATATACAGATATGTACACACAAATATGTATATAGACAAGCACACACATATACACAATATGCATGTATACATATAAACACAAATACACAAATATAAACACACACATATATATACACCCATCCACACACACGTATGCAAACACACACATAAACACATATATACACACAGAAAGCATATATACACAGACTGGGCCACAGCAATGTATGGCAGGGGGCGGCTAGTCTATATAAATAAAAATTTAATGTTCGTTTGTGGGATTAACACAACTCAAAAACCACTGGATGAATTGAGATCAAATTTGGACACCACACACCTGTCAGGACAATGAGTGATCATCACTCATAAAAACACTGAAAAGAAGGGACTTAAAAAGCAAAAAAAGCTATAGCGCATGCACAAAAATGACTCCCCCTGGCAAAAAAAACACACAATAGCAAATGTGGGCTGATCAAATGTGATCTACACATGGTTTATTTTACATTAAGCCACATGTGACAATCCTTAGCAGTTTGTATAAATGCTCTTTTTCTAGATTAGTATGGCCGTTCTGGATTTCACTGGAAGTGAAGAGGAACCAAGGGCACAAATGTGAAGCAATATGTCCTGAGTTGCTCTTCAAAAACAGAATACAATGTCGAAAGTAAAAGAAAAATGCTTAACTTCAGCAAGCACAAAGGATAAGCAAATGCAGTTGAAAAATACAAAAGAAAGCAAGGAAGCCTTAATGCAGACACAAATTAAAGTCTCTTACAACGTCCCAAAAGAAACAGCAGTCTTCCATCAGACAATGGGCAATGATCACACAAAGCAGGTTCAATTTGGAGTGAAAACCTCGGCATCAGACTGCTCCTTTGACTGCTCCTGCTTCTGATTTATAGCCCTGATTTCCCCACACAGGAGGTGCTAGGGTGTCTCCCAATTAGCTCAGCGTTTTTAGCAGCTATTCTAGCTGAATGCCGCCTGTGCTCTGTCTCCTTTCGTCTCTCTAGAAATGTGGGCACTTGCACAACCTCATTGTCTGATTTTTCCTGAGCATTTCCCTGCTCCCCTTCCTCTTCCGAAGATAAGGAATCCCTAACACAATAGCACTGAACGGACCGCACCAGGAGAGATCCATCCTGTCTATGCCTCACTGGGTCAGAACAACATTAACTCTGAACTGATATTTGACCACCACTCATCATCATCATCATCATCATCATCCTTCACCTGGAGGGTGATGTGTTCATCCTTGCTCCGGGAAGACATGCTCATGATAATACCGTTGGACTCGCGCATCCTCATCGTGGCTTCGATGAGTGTTCTGCGAGGAGGTGCGGTGAAAGGAAGCTGGTAACGAATGTGACTTCCTGGCCCAAAAGAGTATTCTTCAGCAACTAGAGAAATTGGGGGAGATAAAACCAGGCTTTTAGAATTGCCTTCCCCGCCATTGGAGTTTCAAAATACACTGGCATATTGAGAAGGTCAAATGCTAAGGAAAATACTGAGTTACAGTGACTAAATGTAAAATGCAAGTGGATGATGAAACCATGAATTCAAGAGTGCATTAAAAGTGAGTACATAAGCAGCCTGACACCACGTGGATTCTTGATGGGTATTTATTTATCGTGTCATTAACAACCAGACCAATATATTACATTTCTAACAGAACAAAACAAACAAACAGATAAAAAACCCCACAAATCTTGCAAACTTGGTAGTTGATTAAATGTCCTTTGACCAGTATCTGGCCCCTTGGAGTGCCCCTGGTGTTGCCGCAAGAAGGTCCTCCATTGTGCATGTGGCAGGGCTCAGGGTGCATTGCAGCAGGTGGTCAGTGGCTTGCTCTTCTCCAAAGTCACATGTCGTGGATTCCACTTTGTGGCCCCATTTCTTGAGGTTGGCTCTGCATCTCGTGGTGCCAGAGCGCAGTCTGTTCAGCGCCTTCCAAGTCGCACCGTCTTCTGTGTGCCCAGGGGGGAGTCTCTCATTTGGTATCAGCCATTGGTTGAGGTTCTGGGTTTGAGCCTGCCACTTTTGGACTCTCGCTTGCTGGAGTGTTCCAGCGAGTGTCTCTGTAGATCTTAGAAAACTATTTCTTGATTTAAGTCACTGACGTTCTGGCTGATACCCAAACAGAGGTTGGGCCAGAGATGTCTCTGCCTTAGTCCTTTCACTATTGGTTGCTACTTCCCGGCGGATGTCAGGTGGTGCAATACCGGGTAGACAGTGTAGTTTCTCCAGTGGTGTAGGGCGCAGACACCCCGTGATAATGCGGCATATCTCATTAAGAGCCACATCCACTGCTTTAGCGTGGAGAGATGTCCACACTAGGCATGCATACTCAGCAGCAGAGTAGCAAAACGCAAGGGCAGATGTCTTCACTGTGTCTGGTTGTGATCCCCAGGTTGTGCCAGTCAGCTTTCGTATGATATTGTTTCTAGCGCCCACTTTTTGCTCGATGTTCAGGCAGTGCTTCTTGTAGGTCAGAGCACGGTCCAGAGTGACTCCCAGGATCTCTGAGGATGCTTGCCATAGATGCAGGTGAAACGTCAGGAGAGAATGCCTCTAGAACATGGCCATATAGCCCAAAAAAGACCTACAACAACCCAGTGATTCCAGCCATGAAAGCCTTCGACAATTTGCAGATTGACTGCCTCTGGGGCTGCCCTATTTCACACCCTGCTCCCACCATGATCCAATCTGGGCTTGGTGCTTTATTCAGCCTCGTCTTGCTTTGCAGGGAGCACAGACATGCACATTGGGTCCAAAGCACAAAATTCTACATATTGCTTCCATCCCCTTCACCTGGGCTCTGGGTCCTCACAACGCCCAGGTGCCTCCACAGTTTTCAGGTGACCAAACAAGTGATCACTGGGAGGACCTCTTGAAACCCATCAATGAAGGGGGTCTCAGCAAAATATACTCTGCATGATACCAAGAGGGAAAAGCATTAGCTCACCTTTGTCACATTTAGAGCCATAGTAACCTGGCAAGCAGTGACAGGTGAAGGAGCCCCACTCGCCGTGACATCTCCCGTGTGGGCCACAAGGAGAGGAGCCCCTCTTCTCACAACTGCCGTCTGTCAAGGCGCAACCAGGAAAGCTGTTCAAAGACTCTGCGGGAGATTCAAGGTCATACAGCTTTAAGAGAAAAAAAGTAAGAGAGAATTATGATCGGGTGCCAAAAAAAGGAACTTCAAAATGCCAACACTGTGAGAAACAGGCTTTTGTGGCTGATCAATCCCCTGGTCTCTCAAACATAAATGTAACCACAGCCTCCAAAACAGAGGTGGGGAACCCATGGCTCTCCATGTGTTGTCAAGTTACAATTCACATCCAGTTTGGTCAATAAAGTGAATGGTGAGCCATACCTTGCCTATCCCTGCTCTACAAGGAACAGACACAGTGTAGCAAGGCCAAGGATTTCCTCCCCCCCCCCCCCATTTAATTAATTCTCCACTTTCCTAAATATGTGGCACATTTCCACAGAGGTGTTTCCCCCTTTGTTCCCAAAGTAACAAGTGCAAGAATGCAAAGGATGCTTGTAGCTGCACAATGTGCAACTCACATGGGAACATGCAGACAGATTGTAATATGAGAACAACCAAATTTAGGGGAGGTGCATGATCAATAGAAAGGAGATAAGGAAAATATATGTCAAATGAGGTGCTGAATCACAACTATGTTAGCGTGGGCAAAGAATCGCGGAAGCACTGAATAATGGACTCCGGAGTCTCCGGTAAAAAGCAGGTTTTAGCTTTACTTGAGCAGTTCCAAAATATACAACATACACCACGAGCAGACAAAACGTGAAGAACACAAACCGAAAGAGACAGGCTCAAAAGCAAACTGCAGCTGGAAGGGAGTTATCTCTGGTACTTCCTAATGTTTCACACACCAAGAACTCAGGGTCACATTCTCACAGCTAGTTACTTTGCTGTTTTAAGTCTACTGTGTAAACATACATTCTGGCAATACAATTCTATTACAATCACATTCCTACTACATGAAATTACATTTAAACATACATCATACATGAAATACACACTGACAAACTACACCTGTCCCAAGCAAAGTGGAATTTAACTGGACTGAACTCAAACACCCTTTGCATTCCTGTCCTAGGGGATGTGCCTCTCACAGACTTGGAATAAATATAAGGTTTTGGGTCGTTGTAGGCTTTTCTTGTTGTATGGTCATGTTCTAGAAGCATTCTCTCCTGACGTTTTGCCTGCATCTATGGCAGGCATCCTCAGAGGTTGTAATACTGGTAGCCAGATTTTGTTCATTTTCATGGTTTCCTCCTTTCTGTTGAAATTGTCCACCTGCTTTTTGTGGATTTCAATGGCTTCTCTGTGTAGCCTGACCTGGTGGTTGTGAAAGTGGTCCAGCATTTCTGTGTTCTCAAATAACATGCTGTGTCCAGGTTGGTTCCTCAGGTGCTCTGCTATGGCTGACTTCTCTGGCTGAAGGAGTCTGCAGTGCCTTTCATGTTCCTTGATTCGTGTTTGGGGGTCCCAACCCCCCCAAGCAGTAACAAGCCACACCAAACAATTGTCAGATGCTAATCAATGTGGCCAACTGAAACATTCACACCTACCTCATAGAATCATAGAATCAAAGAGTTGGAAGAGACCTGGTGGGCCATCCAGTCCTACCCCATTCTGCCAAGAAGCAGGAATATTGCATTCAAATCACCCCTGGCAGATGGCCATCCAGCCTCTGTTTAAAAGCTTCCAAAGAAGGAGCCTCCACCACACTCCGGGGCAGAGAGTTCCACTGCTGAACAGCTCTCACAGTCAGCTCCACCTCCAACAGACAAGAGTTCTTTCTCCCACCCTGGACTCTCCACAGATATATAAACCCAATTTTCCAGTTTCCAACAGACCTCACAACCTCTGAGGATTCCTACCATAGATGCGGGCAAAACGTCAGGAGAGAATGCTTCTAGAACATGGCCCATACAGCCCAAAAAACCTACCACAACCCAGTGATTCCAGCCATGGAAGCCTTCGACAATACAATATAAGGTTTTATTTGGATACATCCTAACTTTAAAGCAAACCACTGTGTAGCAGAATCATATTATGATAGGAGTCTAGATATCCCTTTGGGTTTGTTTTTTTTCCAATCCTAAAGTCTTCATTCGTATGAACTCACACATTATTCTAACACCCTCTGATTTACCTGAGTGTCCAAAATAAGATTGCGAATGCATCCTTTGAAATGTTTCTGTTGTAACTGAGGGTATGGATACGGCATCGATTCCTTGACTCCGCCCAACTGAAGAACCTGATTCATGTTCAAGTACCTACAAAACACAGAGGTGCTAAATAAGAGATGAATGTTAGTATAACCATGCTACAAAAAAAAAGAAGAAGAAGAGAGAGCTGCCTAGAGCGGAGAATAAACCAACTACTGTTGCAAATCTCCAAAGCTGACTCCTACAGAAGCTTTCATTCGGTTGCAAGCGCAAACCAAATTCTTTTATGACAGAATGTCATTGAGTCAACAGAATCACTCCCTTGGTGACGCAATGGGTTAAACCCTTGTGCTGGCAGAACTGCTGACTGACAGCTCAGCGGTTCAAATCTGGGAAGAGTGAACTGAGCTCCCTCTGTCAGCTCCTGCTTCCCATGCGGGGACATGAGAGAAGCCTCCCACAAGGATGGCAAAACATAAAAAAATCCAGATGTCCTCTGGGCAACATCCTTGCAGACGGCCAATTCTCTCACTCCAGAAGCGACTTGCAGTTTCTCAAGTCACTCCTGACACCAAAAACAAAACAGTCACTCAAACACAACAGTTACAGGCAAGGTGTATTAGGCTGTTGGGGTTCAGCCTGAGTTTGAACTTGAACCTGATTCTCTGTTTGTTCCTCCTGATGCTAATGAAA